CTGTTGAGGGTGGAAAAAGGGTAGAACTTTGTGTTTAATTTTATTTAAAAAGAAAGCCTTTAATCTATACCAATATTTAACACTCAGACTGATACTAGTTCTCTCTCCCAATGCACATCTCCAAAGCTTACTAGGCAAAGCACTGACATTTTTTCTCTTCCTTGAACCAGGTTTAGGCATGTCAGATTAATGAGAATATTTTGAAAATATTAAGAATTGTTTCCCTCATTTTACATTTGTCCTGTTTCATTAATTAAAAAAATCCTTACATTTGCACACAAATCTGAAACCAACACTTAGTTAAAAAAAAAAAAAAGTTTTGGGGCGCCTGGGTGGCTCAGTCGTTAAGCGTCTGCCTTCGGCTCAGGTCACGATCCCAGGGTCCTGGGATCGAGCCCCGCATCGGGCTCCCTGCTCCGCGGGGAGCCTGCTTCTCCCTCTCCCACTCCCCCTGCTTGTGTTCCTGCTTTCACTGTGTCTATCTCTGTCAAATAAATAAATAAGAATCTTTAAAAAAAATACAGTTCAAAATATTAAAAAAAAAAGTTTTAAAATCTTTCCAATGAAGAATTTTGGTGTTATTGACAAGATTTAAAAACAAGAAAAAAGGGTGCCTGGGTGGCTCAGTCGGTTAAGCATCTGCCTTGAGCTCAGGTCATGATCTCAGGGTTCTGGGATCGAGCCCCGCGTCGGGCTCCCTGCTCAGTGGGGAGTCTGCTTCTCCCTCTCCCTCTGCTTGCTGCTTCGCCTGCTTGTGTTCTCTGGCAAATAAATAAGATCTTTAAAAAAAAAAAAATAAGAAAAAAATGTCTTTTATATTTACTTAAATATTTACCATTTCTGGCATTATTAGTTTCTATTTATCCAAATGCCCATGTAACATCATTTTCCTTCTGCCAAAAAGTACTTCCTTTAACATTTTCTGTGTAGTATATACAGGTCTGCTGGCAACAAGTTCTCTCAGATTTTGTCTGAAAGCTTTTATTTTGCCTGCACTTCCTGAAAGGTATTTTGCTAGGTAGAGAATTCAAGGTTGAGAATTATTTTCTTTCAGACTTTATGCTTTTCTTTTTATCACAGCTTTTCACTGAACTGATTATGTTCCTTTAGGTGGTTTCTTTCATGTTTCTTCTGCTTTGAGTTCACGGAGCTTCTTAGATCTATGGGCTTACAGTTTTCAATAAGTTTGGAAATTTTTCAACTATTATTTCTTCAAATATTTTTTCTGTCCCATTCTCTCTCCATTGATTCAGGGACTCCAATTAGACATACGTAAAACTACTTAACAGGGCCTGTGGGCGGCTCAGTTGATTAAGTGTCCAACTCTTGACCTCAGCTCAGGTCTTGATCTCAGGATCATGAGGTCAAGAAGCCATGTGCTGGGCTCCATGCTGAGTGTGGAGCCTACTTAAAAAAACAAACAAACAAACAAAAAAAAAAACTATTTGATATTGCACTCAAGTTACTAATGCTCTATTCCTTTTTTTTCTAGTACATTTTTTTAAAAAGTAGGCTCTACACCCAACATGGGGTTTGAACTCACAATGCTGATATCAAGAGTTACGCTCTACTGACTGAACCAGCCAGGCACCCCTCTAGCACATTTTAGGTAGTTTCTATTGCTGTGTCTTCCAGTTCACTAATATTTCATTCTATAGTGTCCAATAAGCTGAATTCCATGCAATGTTTTTCATTTCTGATACTGTATTAACTCATGTGCATAAGTTCAATTTGGGTCTTTTTACATTTTCCATTTCTCTCACCATCATGCTTGTGTTTTCTTCTACTTTCTTGAACACATGCGATACAACTGTAATAGTTGTTTTAATGTCCTTACTGCTATTTCCATCATCTCTTGTCATTTCTGGGTCTGTTTATGTTGACTAATTCTTCTTCTAGTTACAGGTTGCTATTATCCTGGCTTCTCTACATGCCTGGTAATTTTTTTTTTTATCAGATAATGGGCATTGTGTATTTTACACACGTGGCTGCTAGATTTTGTTATACTCTTTCAAACTGTATTGAATTCTGTTCTAGAATTAGTTCAATCTGCTTCCAAGGTACATGCAAAGAAACCTTTAGTCTAAGGTGATACAATCTTTTATAGACTCTATCCTATGCCTTATGAAGTCTTTCCACTGTGCCTTGTGGAAACATGAACTATTAGTGAGTTCCAGAAACTGCTTCACCAAATGCTTTCCAGCAGTTATTTCTCCAGCTATGGAAGTTTCCTTTCTTATGTGTGTAATTCACAGTACTCAGCCAAAGCTTCATGGTAAGCCCTACAAAGATCTCAGAGTGCTGTCTGTGCAGTTTCCTCCATTCTGGAACTCTGCCTCACACACTGTAGCTGCCTTGGCCTCCCTATACTCCTATCTCCTATTTCCGCAATTCTGCAGGAAAACTGGGCTCTGTTGGGACTTCCTCCTTTCTGCTGCCTGTAAATTGCTTCTAGACAATGAGGTAGGGTAATTTTAGGGCTTGCCTTACTTTTAGTGATAACTTCCTTCAGTGATAACAATCCTATGCTGTTGTCCAATATCTGAAACCACTATTTCATGTACTTTGTCCAGTTTTCTAGTTGTTTAACTCAGGAGGGCAAATTCAGTCCTTGTTACTTCATCATGGCCAGGATTTTGACCACATAAATGATACAAAAATGCATCACCTTCTACTTTGTTTATAAGATCACCTGACTGATTTCAGGGAATATGGGAAGTCACTACTAAATTTTAACAAACTCCCAATCTACTTGGTGGAGGAGACTATAAAAGGAATATCATAATGTCGGTAATGAAGCCAACAACATAGTTCTTACATGTGGTTCTACATATCTTTACAGAATGAATCTTTCATGTAGGACAGGTATTATAACCAGGTACCAAAATAAACTGATCCAAGACTCAGACCTAACAATAGCCATATTACAGCTGAGATTAAGAAATAGTTCAAAGTATAAATTGTTTTTGCATAACAAATAAAAAATTCTCAAATGTAAAGAAAAAAAAAAAGAATATAAAAAACTTCCATGCTGAGCACAGATAATGAGAAAGAAAGCAAGCTATGAAAGTACATCACATGTTCAGGGACAAGAGTGTGATTACTGTATTTAGTGAATGAAAAAGAAGATGATACAAAATTGTAATTTGGGGGTCAGTTCCCAACAACACCAAAAGCTGGCCAGGATAAGAAGCAACAGGAGTTCTCATTCATTGTTGATGGGAAAATGGTAGAATCTGGAAGATAATCTGACAGTTTCTTACACAACATACTCTTAACACATGACCCAGCAATCACACTCCTTGGTTATTTACCTAGGTAAACTAAACTCTTATGTCCCCAGGAAACCCAGACAAGGATGTTATTTATAGTAGCTTTATTCATACCTGACAAAGTTTGAAAACAACCAAGATGTCTTCAATAGGTGAATCTGGATAAACTGTGCTATAGATAGTTAACAGACTATTAATCAGCACTAAAAAGTAATCAGCTATTAAGTCATGAAGACACGGAGAAAATTTAAATACATATTACAAAGTGAAAAAGCTATATACTGTATGATTCCAACCACACAACATTCTGAAAAAGGCAAAACTATGGAGACAATAAAAAGATCAATGGTTGCCAGGAGCTGAGGGAAGGGAAAGATGAAAGAGCAAAAGATTCTTAGGGTAGCAAGATATATTCTGTAAGATATTACATTACACATTTGTCAAATTAAACATTTGTCCAAACTCATAAAATGTACAATACCAGGAGAGAACTCTAAGATAAACTATGGACTTTGGGTGATAATGTCAGTGGAGATCCATTCTGGTTCAGGATGCTGATAGTGGGGGAGGCTATCACGGGGGGGCAAGGAGTATATGGGAACTCTCTATACTTTCTGCTCAATTTTGTTGTCAATCTAAAACTATTCTAAAAAAAGTCTGTTAAAAATAAATGAATCTGGCAACAATATGAAATATAAGCAGACAAGGGACTAAAGTTGAGAGAAATCAGTTAAGAGAATAAAGGAACACTGTAGGCAACACACAAGGATAGGCAAACAATACTGGCAGTAGAAACAGAAGCACTCTAAAACAGTGTTCAAGTTGTTGCTTGTACAGTTGACCCCTGAACAACACAGGGAGTTAGCGGCACCAATCTCCCACACAGGTGAAAATCTGAGTATAACTTTTGACTCCCCAAAAACTTAACTGAAAGCCTACTGTTGGCCAGAAGGCCTTACCAATAACATAAACATTGAATTAACACATTTCTTGTATGTTATGTGTATTATATACTCTATTCTTATAATACAGTAAGCTAAAGAAAAGGTTAATAAAATCCTAAGAAAAAATACATTTACAGTGTTGTATCATATTTATTGGGAAAAAAATTCATGTGCAAGTGGACTTCTGTGGTTCAAACTGGGTCATGCTGCTCAAGGGTCAACTGTATATATAACCTAGTATACTAGATATAATCATTGCAGATCTTTCTGCACAAAGAGAATTATTTTCTCCAAATTAATAGTAGCAAAATATTTTTTGTTTTTATTTTTAACAAAATACATGTGTACCTTGGAACAACTTTCCAAGTTTATATGACAAATATAGGCAGTGAAAATTAGATAATACATAACAAATCACGTCCGTGTTTTAAAAGTTAGAACTCACCTAAGAAATTTTTTTTTAACTTAATTGGGACTCTAAAAAAATAATTAAAATATAACTAATGCTTAGTTTTCTTATATAACGAACTATAATGAAACACCACATTCTTACTGAAGTAATGGTTTAACTTTTTAATGAATGTAAATTGGTATCAGTTTGAGTGAAATCTTAACTTCCTATCAATCTTGACAAACTACTTCCTCCCAGAAAACTCCAAACATTGCTAAATACTGAACAGCTGTTAAAAATCAATGTAAATCACTCCGTGTGGAGAGAGATTATTATTTACAATGACAACAAAAGGAAGAATTACTTTTCTGAAAGTGGAAGAATTAGTCTCACCTTTTTCTTCTGGTCTTATAGGAAAATACTTCTTCTCTATAGCTATTAGCTCAGGCTTTGGAGCTAAGGAAAAAAAACAAAGTTAATACTTAAAAAAAAATAGTTTCAAAGCACAAAGACGATTATACCACTAAACAGTACAGGTTAGTTTTAAAATAACATTAGAGGAAACATGGCTTAACAGAGGAACAGTGTACCAGAATCACTAGGCTAAATATCTAATCCTGCACCTACCTACCACTATTACATGACTAAGTAGTTACTTTGTGGTCTCAGTTCTTTCTTTGTCAAATGAAGGCGTTCATATCATCTACAACACCACTCTCCAGTAGAACTTTCTATGATGATGGAAATATTCTATTTTTGTGCTATCCAATATTGAGTATGGAGACTTGAAATGTTACTACTGTGACTGTGAATTCAATTTTTTAATTTATTTAACTTTAGTTAAATTTTAAAAGCCCAAATATGACTAGTGACTAAAAAGCCTCCAACACCAACTTCTATAAAAATTATTTTTAACTTATGCTTTACTTGTTATGGGATTAGGTCAGCAAATACAAAGCTGAAAACTTGGGAGTAGGGAAGAAGGACTTGTATTATTTTAAAATAGAGCAAATCTTCCAAGAAAAATAATTGTACTTCATTTGTAAAAATCAGAAATTAGGGGCTAAAATTTACAGAAACAGAGTAAGAGCCAGATTATAAAACTGTAACTCCGGAAAAGTCTTCTAAGAACACCGTAATATATTCAACTGCTTAAAAAAAAATAAAAATAAACTGATCTAGTTTGCTTAACCCTTAGAGCACATAGTCGGAAGAAATACAAATTAATATTTAAATGAGACATTAACAAATGTATTTAATGTGAAAAGGTTAAATTACTAATTGGCCAGATCAATATATTAAGTATTCTACCTAAATACATTTAAACTTTGTCAATTTTCTTAATTAGAAATGGCAAATTATAACTAAAGTATCCAAATTACTTTTAAGATCCTATTTTAAGTTTATACTTAAAAAATACTGATATTAATATATGTAAACACTTAATTTTTATATATTTCTAAAGTTTGTATATATCACAGCATATATGGTTTTTGCTAATATAAGTGGTTTATACTTAAAACCCAATTTCACCACTTTATAACTTGAAAATATGAAAAACAGCAAACTGAATAATGTGTTTCTTACCTACCTGGACCTTTAGCAGGTGGTGGTGGTTTCTTTGGTTTCTATTAAAATAACAATGGTGAAGATACATGAACACTTACATGTTACATACTTATACTTAAATTCTGATCATTAATAATCTAAATTGAAGGAATATCTGTCCTCATCGCATCCCTGCCAAAAATTATAAAATAAAAAGATCTTAACAACCAAAAGGTCACTAACAAAAAATTTAATCTATCAGAACAAATGCTGGGGCGCCTGGGTGGCTCAGTCGTTGGGCGTCTGCCTTCCGCTCAGGTCATAAACCCAGTGTAATGGGATCGAGCCCCGCGTCTGGCTCCCTGCTCCGCGGGAGGCCTGCTTCTCCCTCGCCCACTCCCCCTGCTTGTGTTCCCTCTCTCACTGTGTCTCTGTCAAATAAGTAAATAAAACCTTTAAAATAAAAAAAAAGAACAAATGCCTTCTTGATCAAAATTCAAATATGTCAAAACTCACCAGTGAGTTTGGTAAACTCCAAAATATCTTAATGATAATCAAAACTATTCGTGACCGCTTCCCCTACTTTAAGATTCCTAGACACAATTTTACCTCCCTTTAACGACTGAGTAGTACGGGGAAGGAGAGGTGGCAGGGAAAGGAAGAGAGAGACAGGTTTAAAAAAAGAGTGGCTAATAGATGGATCTAGCTTATACTCCTAACTCTTCAGAACTCTCAGAAGATTTAAAGCAAAGGCCCGTGGGGCACGTGGGTGGCTCAGCCAGTCAAGTGCCCAACTCCTGATTTTGGCTCAGGTCACAACCTCAGGGTCGTGAGGCTGAGCCCCACACTGGGCTCCATGCTCAGTGCGGATTCTGCTTATCCCTCTCCCTCCCCTGCTTGCGCATGTACACACTCTTTCTCTCTAAAACAAATGAATAAAACCTTAAAAAAAAAAAAGGTTTATTTTTCCTCAATTTATTCAAATTCTCTTGGGTTTATAAGCATTTTTTTTTTTTTTAAGAGAGAGCGCGGTGGGGAAGCAGGGGAGAGGGAGAGAGAAAATGTTAAGCAGACTCCACACCCAACGTGGAGCCCCACACGGGGCTGGATCCTACAACCCTGAGATCATCACCTGAGCTAAAATCAAGATCAGACACTTAACTGACTAAGCCACCAGGCACCCCAGTGTTCATTTATTTTTAAGACTTAATTTAATGATTTAAAAAACTTGAAATATTCCTAAGCATGTGAGTTTGGTTTTCCCAAATTAAAAAATAACTGAGAGTCAATGCTGTATAAACACCAAATAAACGCCCCCAAAATAATTTGTTCATTAGGCATTAAAATAAAACACCCTGAAAGGCTGAATAAATACTGAATGAAATCTAGCAAAAGAAGGACCTCAGACAGCATTAACCCATAGCACAACCTCTAATAATTTACTTAACTACATAAAGACTACAAAGGTTAGAAATTTCTACATTGGCTTAAATAAAATACGGTAGACTGTCTTGCTCTGGGTGTCCGCTCTCTAACTCAATTAGAGAAGTAGCAAGTGGAGGCAGTCCAAGGTGGTGGCATAGGAAGACTCTGAACTAACTTTGTGGGAGGAATCCCATGGACACAATAAATTTACACCTATATATAGAACCATTCCTCCTGAAAAAGTGAGGGTGGATTGAATAGCTTCTACACAACAAACAACAGAGGAACCACATAGAGAACAGTAGCAAACAAGGTAACAACACAAACCACACCCCAGATACAAGAACCTGCAGTAGGGAGGGATATCACTGAGGGTCCCAAGCAGACTCACCTGCCCTGAGGCACAGAAACAAAACAGCAATTTAAAGGCAGCCAGACTACAAGTGAAGGAAATCCATTTACTAACTCTAGAGCCTCTGCCAAATGAAGGAACTGCTGGAACTCTTTCCAGGGGTCAAAGATGCCTACAAGTGCCAGTGTTTATGCTCCCCACACCCATACTTGACAGTACTGATGAGAAGAGTCCAGGTACTCTAGCTGGCCTGCTAGGACTGCCCCAGCAAGTCTGGACCCCCAAGCCCAGAACAGTTTCAGCTGTCCCACCAAGGCAATCCACTGCCCTGTGCCAGCCCCAGCTCTAGCCATCACAACAAGGTGGCCCCAGAAGCTCCAGGATATGCCAGGCCTGTAGCCAATAGCTCAAGCTCTCCCACCATTGTGGCCCTGGCACAGAGTACATTGGAATCCCTCCCATGCCCACACCTACTCAAGTCATCTGCCAAGGAGCCCAGGCCAACTCTAGCCCCAGCCATCCTGCCAAAGTGCCCTAGTGTAGCAAGCCCCAGGGCACCCCTAGCCCATGTCTACTCCAGCTCCAGCTACCCAGCCAAATCACCCTGGTACACATACTCAACAAAGGAGACATTCCTATACAAGGCCGCTCCTTCAAGACCAAGAGGTAGCTGTTCCACCAAATTTACAGACACAGACACAGAAAGACAAACAATATACAGAGAAAGAAGATGTGTTCAAAACAAGAGAACAATATAAAATAAGAGAGATAAATAGCTTTCTTGATAAACAGTTGAAACTAATGGTCATAAAAATGTTCACTGAACTTAGGAGAAGAATAAAGGAATACAGAAAGAAACCTTAACAAAGAGGTAGGAAATATAAAAGTACCAAAAAGAGGGGTGCCTCAGTCAGTTAAGCATCTGACTCAAGTTGGGCTCAGGTCATGATCTTGGGGTCAAGAGATTGAACCCTGTGTCATGCTCTGCGCTGGGCATGGAGCCTGCTTGAGATTCTTTCTCTCCCTCTGCTTCTCCTACCCCTGCTCACATGTGCTCTCTCTCACTCAAAAAAAAAAAAAAAAAAAGTCACAGAGCTGAAAATTTCAGTAACTAAACTAAAAGTACACCAGAGGGCATCAAGAGATTAGAGGATAAAGAAGAATGGATCGCCCCAATGGAAGACAGAATAGTGGAAATCACCCAGTCAGAGTAGCAGAAGAAAAAAGAATTTTTTAAAAAATGAGAATAGTTGGGGCACCTGGGTGGCTCAGTCATTAAGCATCTGTCTTCAGCTCAGGTCATGATCACAGGGTCCTGGGATTGAGCCCTGCATCGGGCTCCCTGCTCAGCGGGAAGCCTGCTTCTCCCTCTCCCACTCTCCCTGCTTATGTTCCCTCTCTCTCTATGTCTCTGTCAAGAAAAATAAAATCTTTAGAAAAAAATGAGAATAGTTTAAGGGACCTCAGAAATGACATCAAGTATACTAACATTCACATTATAGGGGTTTCAGAAGGAGGAAAAAGAGTAAGAAAATCTATGTGAAGAAATAATGGCTACAAATGTTCTTAACCTAGTATAGGAAAGACATCCATGTCCAGGAAGCAAAGAGAGTTCCAAACAAGATGAAATCAAAAAGAGCCACACAAAGATAGATTATATTTAAAATGGCAAAAGTCAAAGAGAAAATCTTAAAGGTAACAAAAGAAAAACAGTCACATATAAGGGAAACCCCATAAGATATCAGCTGATTTTTGCAGCAGAAACTTTTTGTGGGCAAGAAGGGAGTGACAGTATACATTTAAAAACCTGAAAGGCAAAACTCAACCAAGAATACTCTACAAGGCAAAATTATTCACAACTGAAGGAGAGATAAAGAGTTTCCCAGATAAGCAAAAACTAAGTAAGTTCATCACCACTAAAAAGGCCTTATAAGAAATGTTAAAGGGTCTTCTTTAAGTAGAAAAAAGGACCATAACTACAAATAAAATATGAAAGAAACAAAATCTCACTGATAAAAATATATAATAAAGGCAGTAAGTCAGCCACTTAAACAGTATAAAAGTTAAAAAAAATAGTAAAATTTACTATAACTACAATAACTAGTTAAGGGATACACAAAATAAAAAGATGTAAAGTAAAACATCAAAACATAAAACATGGATCAGATGCGGGATAAAAGTTTAGTGCTAGAAATACATTTGACTTTAAGTAACTATTAGCTTAAAATAGACTGCCATATATAGGTCAATATACAGAAACCTTGTAGTAACCACAAACTAAAAGCCTACAGAATAAACACAAAAAAATAAAGAAAAAGGAGCCCAAATATAACACTAAAGAAAACTATCAAACCACAAGAGAAGAGACCAAGAGAAGAAATGAACAGAGAAAAGCTACAAAAACAAACAGGAAACAATTAAAATGGCAGTAAGTACACACCTACAAATAATTACTTTAAATGTAAATGAACTGAATGTTCCAATCAAACGACATAGAGTGGATGAATGGATAAACAGAAAACCAAGACCCATCTATATGCTGCCTACAAAGACTCACTTCAGATCTAAAGACACAGACTGAAAGTAATGGGATGGAAAAAGATATTTCATGCAAATGGAAACAAAAAGAAAGCTTATGTAGCAATACTCATCAGACAAAAGAGACTTTAAAGACTGTAAGAAAAGATAAAGGGTATTATGTAATAAAGGTGTCAATCCAAGATGAGGTTGTAAAATTCATAAATCTTTATGCCCCCAAAACAGAAGCACCAAAATTATATATAAAGCAAGTATTAACAGATATAAAATTGACAGTAACACAATAATAGTGGGTGACTTTAATACCCCACTTACATCAATGGATAGATCCGAGAAATATTAATAAGGAAACCTTGGCCTTAACACATTAAACCAGATGGACTTAAAAGATATATACAGACGATTTTATCCAAAAAACTATAGAATACATATTCTTTTCAAGTGCACATGGAACAGTCTCCAGATGTGAAGCCACAAAACAAATCTCAAAAAATTCCAGAAGACTGAAATCATAACAAGTATCTTTTCCAACCCCAATGGTGTAAAATTAGAAATTAATTACAAGAAGATACCTGGAAAAAAATACAAACACAGGGAAACTAAACAATGCTACTAAACAATCAGTGGGTCAACAAAGAAATCAAAGAGAACATCAAAAAATATGCTGAGACAAATGAAAATAGAAACAACTTTCCAAACCTATGGAACACAGCAAAAGCAATTCTAACAGGCAAGTTCATAGCAATACAAGCAAGCCTACCTCAGGAAATAAGAAAATTCCCAAATAAACAATCTAAATTTACACCTAAAGGAACTAGGAAAAAAAAGAACAAAACCCAAAGTTAGTAGAACAAAGACCAGAGCAGAAATTAACAAAATAGAGATTAAAAAACAAAAGACAAGATCAATGAAACTAAAAGCTGACTACTGAAAAGATAAGCAAAATCAATAAACCTCTACTCAAAAATCATCAAGAAAAAGAGAGGGGACCCAAATAAATATACAAGAAATTAAAAAGAAGTTACAACTGACATGTAGAAATATAAAGGATCATAAGAAATTACTACAAACAATTACATGCCAACAAACTGGAAAACCCAGAAATGGATAAATTCCATTTATGGATAAATTTCACTTTTCTAATAATTTATCCGTTTCCTCTGGGTTCCAAGACTTGATTACAAAGAAATAGAAAATGTTAATAGACCAATTACAAGTAATAAAATTCAACCGTAATTTAAAAGTCCAGGACCAGACAGCTTCATAGGTGAATTCTACCAAACATTTAAAGAGGAGTTAGTAACTATCCTTCACAAGTTATTTCAAAAAACTGAAGAGGAAGGAATGCTTCCAAACTCATTTTATGAGGCCAGCATTACCCTGATATCAAAACCAGTCAGACATCACAGAAAAAAAAAAAAAAAATTACAGGCACTATCTCTGGTGAACACAAATGCAAAAATCCTTAACAAAATATTAGCAAACTGAACTGAACAATACCTCAAAAGGATCATACATCATGATCACTTAGGATTTATTTCAGAATGATTCAACATCTTTAAACCAATCAACATAATACACCATTTTAACAAAATGAAGGATAAAAATCCTATGGTCATCTCAACAAACGCAGAAAGACCATTTAAAAAATCCAACATCCATTTATAAAAACTCTCAGCAAAGTGGGTATAGAAGGAATGTACATCAACATAATAAAGTCCATACATGACAAACCCAAAGTTAACATCACACTCAATGGTAAAAAGCTAAAAGCTCTTTCTCTAGGATAAGGAACAAGATAAGGATACCCACTCTCACCACTTTTCTTCAACACAGTACTGGAAGTCTTGGCCACAACAATTAGGCAAGAAAAATAAATAAAAGGCATCCAAATTGGAAAGGAAGAAGTAAAACTGTTCACTACTGGAAGACAACACATATATATACACACATGTGATGTATACATACACAATGGATTATTACTCAGCTATAAGAAGAATGAAATCCATAGATGGACCTACAGGATCATATACTAAGTGATATAAGTCAAACAGATAAAGACAATACCATATGATTTCACTTATTGTAAAATCTAAAAAACAAACAAATGAACAACAACAACAAAAAACAGAAACAGACTCACAGATATAGGAAACAGACTGTTGGTTACCATAAGGGGGAGGGGCTAGGGAGCAGGTGAAATAAGTTGAAGGGGAGTAAGAGATACAAACTTCCAGTTATAAAATAAATAAGTAAGTCATGGGGCTGTAATGTACAGCAGAGAGAACACAGTCAATAATATTATAATAACTTTGGTGACAGAACTAGACTTATTATAGGGCCCATTCAGTAATGTATAAAAATATCTATAAATAAATAAATAAATAAATAAATAAATAAATAAATAAATAAAATATCTAATCACTATGATCCATAAGACCTAAAACCAATAGGATATTGTATGTCAATTATACTTCAGTCAATCAATCAATCAATCCTCAATTAGGTCCAACATCCTATGGGGAAAAAAAGGGATCAAGTTGCAGAAAAGCAAAAGAGCACTGATGAATGACTCAGCATCACTTTAAATACTGTAATAAAGCAAAGACTGCTTCTTACCCTCCCAAAAATGCATTGACAGAGTAGTACTGTAAGATCAAGAGTAGCTTAAAATAAGATTTTCCAAAAAATTCAAGTATAATTTCTTCCAGGGAAGTGTTAATTTGTCTAACTACTACTATGAGAGACTTTTTCTTTTAATTATAATAAAGTAAAAGTCTAACATTACTTTTCAATATAGTCAGTGGGGAAAGAACACCAGAAATAAAACACAAAACTGAAATATTATTTTGTTTTACTACAGTTCAAATTAATTTCACCTCAACATATAAATTGGAAACCCCCTCATAAAGTTGACCTGTTTTTAAAGAAATAATTGGCAAATGGTTCATTAAACTATTATCATCATTGAAAAATAAAAGCTTACTGGAAAGTCTTTATCCAGTTCATTTATCTGAATAGCAAAATTATCCGGAAATACTCCTTCTTTACCATTAAGTTCACCCTTCCACCAGCCAGCTTCTCCAGTCTCCTATAATGCAAAATGAGGAATAATTAAAATAACTGGGGCTATCTTTAAATAAGAAAAAAGTTTACAACAAAATGGGAAAGTACTGAATTCCATTATTTTTACAAGGAAAAAAAAGGGCTAAACAGATCATAAGGTCCTCCTAAAAGCAAATATTACCCACATATTACTTCCAGCAGTATTATAAAACTGGGTTTCATTTTTTTAAGTAAGTCAAATAATTTTAAAATTCAGTTTACAAGAAGAAAGGAAAAAGTAAAGTGGGAGAGGAGGTGGAGCAAGAATATGATTTTCTAAACTGTATCTTACTTAACATTCTTAACACTTTATATACCAAAAAACAAGCACATTATTCATTTGCCTTAGAAATTAACAAGATATTCTACAATTCTTTCCAAATACCCCCCTTCCATGAGAAATTGTATGATTATCAGTCCAAAACTATGGATATTAAAAATCACATACACTAAACCATCTGATAACAAAGTCAATTTAAAACAAGGGGAAATTTTTTAGAAATTATTCTATATGGTTATAACAAAACCAAAACATTTATAGTTTTCCTCTATTACAAATAGTAACGGGATTCTGCCCAGACCCAAATACTCCTGGGTTTTCTATTTCTTTTGCCATAATTTATTCCAAGTTATAAAACTACTTCATTCTTTAAAATAGCTGCATCACTTTCCACTGTATGGTTTTATAAACATTTACATACTGATGGAATTTAAATTGTTTCCTTATTTTTCTTCTTTTTATTTTTAAGAGTTTATTTATTTATTTGACAAAGAAAGACACAGCGAGAAAGGGACACAAGCAGGGGGAAGGTCAGAGGGAGAAGCAGGCTTCCTGCCAAGCAGACAGCGCAATGTGGGGCTCAATCCCAGGACCCTGGGACCATAACCTGAGCCAAAGGCAGATGCCTAAGGACTGAGCCAACCAGACGCCCCTCTTTTTTTTTTTTTTAAGATTTATTTATTCATTTTGAAAGACAGAGATCAAGCAGGAGAAGGGACAGAGGGAGAAGATCTCTTTTTATATTATAAACAACAAACATTAGATGGGGGAAAAATGTAATGAGGTGAACTAGGAAGTGAGAACAGAAATCTGGAGGAGTTGAGGTTAGAGAAAAAACACACATGATGGTAAAAATAATCCCCAATAAATCAATTATTAGACAGACAATAAAAATGTTCTCAAAAAAAAAACCTTTCTGAGCACTTACTATGTGCCAGGTTCTCAAAGTTCCAGCTCTTCTAGAGCTTACATTGTAGGAGGAATGTAAGAATGAATAAATTAAATGATGCACTGAAAAACTGAGAAATAGCTTACCTTACTTATCAAGTAGATTATCTCTCCCTCTTTAAAAGAAAGCTCATCTTCATTAGTACCTTCATAGGCAAATAACGTTCTACAATATTCCTTTGCTAAAATAAATGTAAATAATGTAGTTTAAATAGATTTTTTCAACAATGCTTATTAAGCCTCTACTTTGTGTAAAAAAAAATGCACACTAGAAGCTATTAAAGATGAATGAATAATTTTGGCCAATACTATACACTGAATTAAGTAACAATTTCATTAATACATGCACTCAAATAGTTACTAAGTGCCTACTATGTTCTAGGCGCAGTTCTAACTACAGGGGGATACATGAGTGAACAAAGCACACTAAAATCTTTGACCCTGTAGTACTTACATCTCATAGGATCTAATACTGTGATCAAGTAGTACAGTGTTAACAAACATCTTCAAAAAATCTAATTATGTATTTGAGCATGCTTCATTCCCAATATGCAAATTTTATTCAAAAACTTACCTTTAGTTTTACTTTCTGTTTCTGTTTTTGTTATGTCCACACTCTGTGCTTTGGATCCTACTGACTGTATAACTAAGGGCTGGAATAGAAAAGGATGGTATCAACTATTTTTGGTGAGAATTAAGATAATATTCTTAAATAAAATTTCCATTTGCGTTAGCCAGCTTTCCCGAACGATACCTATAGCCAGGTTAGTAATGTGACTGAAAACTCTGCAATGAAAAGATAAAGATGACATAAGCTTTCCTAAATGTGATAGCTCAGAACTTCACATTTTTAAAACTCCCCATACACATTCTCTGCTACCCATAATACAGTAATTTAATTGTAAACCTCTAAAATCAATAAAAATAATAGCATCTGGGACGCCTGGGTGGCTCAGTCAGTTAAATGTCTGCCTTCAGCTCAGGTCATGATCCCAGGGGCCTGAGATCGAGCCCCATGGGGCGCTGGGCTCCCTGCTCGGCGGGGAGCCTGCTTCTCCCTCTCCCTCTGCTGCTCCCCCTGCTTGTGCTCTCTGACAAATAAATGAATAAAATCTTAAAAAAAAATAGCATCTGAAAATGTACTGAATACCAGTCCCTTAGCTAAACACTTTATATACATTATAAGTTAATCCTCAAAACAATCTGCATAAAGGAAGCACTATTATGTGCTCCTTTTATAGATAAGGAAGCAGTTAATAACCTGCCCACAATAACAGTAATTTAGTAGTGGAGCCCAGATCTGAATCTAGAAAGTCTGACTCTAGAAAGTGGCTCTTAAACAACAGCACTAAACTTCCTTACGATGACATAGGGAAGAAAAGAAAGTCTTTATACTTCATTGCTGCTATCTGAATAAAAATACCTAGCTAATGTTACAACCTCTGTAACTATAGTCCAGGAGAAAATTTTACCTTGTAAAGGACTAAGTAAGTCCTTCATACTCGTGTTTTCCTTGACTTCTCTCCCCAGAAAAAAACATTACATTTGACCTTAGCTGTCATTAGTTAAAAATCTAAATGTACCAACTACCTATCACTGTGTGTTCTGTATATTTTAAGATACTCACTTTAATTTCTCCCAATTCTACCCATCATTTCTTTTAATCTGATGTCACCCACAAACATAGCAAATGTGCTCTCTATCAATTCCTGGGTGAGTGATCAAAGCAAGGCTCAAAAGGCCATCAATACAGGGTGACCCTGAGACGACTCTCACTAATAATAACTCTTGAATAGTGAACATCTTAAGTGTTCTGAAAGAGTACTAGTGTAATCCTTAATTAAATAAAGTTATTTGATATAAATCATAAGCTTTAGAGTTAGAAAGGAGCCCCAGATTACCTAATGTCCCTCATAATGCAAACACTGCTTCTCCAGCATTCCTGGCTCTTATATGGCTATACAGCACCATTCCAAAACCATAAGAATTCCAATCTTCACCTTTAAAACCAAGAATCAATTAGGCCCCATATTCTAACTGCCAGACAGTCTTGAAGCTAGGAGAGGGTAGGGTAGAAAGTACAAGTTCTCTTTCCTGAATCCAAATCATTATTACATGAAAAAATATGTAGCAAGCTGGGAAAGAAAAAATATGTTGAAACTAACCACTGTAGAAGAAAACTTGAAAATACATTTCACCAACCAAAACAGTCTTATAAGTGAAATACAGCTGAACTAGGCAAGCAAATACTGAAATACTTAAAACTCTTAAGAGTTAAATACAGTCATAGAACTGAGAACTAAAATGAAACACCCTAAAAGTCAATGGAAAAAGCTCCTATCTGAAATAAGTAGTCTGTATCTCTAAGATGTGAGCCTCAGAAACAACATAGCCTTGTAATTAGTGTTCCAGAAATTGCAGCTATTTTCCCCCAAAACAAAGACTTGGGAGTTTATTTTAAAATCTGTTATTAATTTGGAAGGAAAAAATAAAAAGGATCTCACCAAGTGGTAAAAAATAAAGTAAAATAAATAAAATCTGTTATTAGATGTTATAATTTATGGTATGTTCATTTTGATTTACTTCACAACGCCAGTGAAATACTAATGAAAAATAAAGTTCTCCATACATTTAGAGAGAGAGATTAGCATATTTCCTCCTAACAGGCAATCCAGAGGAAAGTTAAGTAGAGCCTATTCAACTTAGTATCTCATTGTGAATCCATTTTAAAATGACCCATGTTAGGCCTATTTCAAATTAAAAGAAAAAATATGTAATTTTAGCTTTTAAAAGGCAAAGCAAAAAAAAAAAAATCGCCTTTTCTATTTTTACCTATGATAACCAAAAACTCTAAAGTTTCCACTAAGAAAAGTCGGGTGTTAAATTTACCAGTAAACATTCTCATTTTATAAGAATCAAATATAAACATTAAAGTAATCACTATAAAGTTGCAGTTTCTCAGTCTTCTCATTCATAACCAATTATTAGTGATCTTAAAAAAGGAAATATAACAGAGTTGCAAACTGACTTTTACATTTTAAAAAATACTTAATGAGAGAATAAGTGCAGTTAATCTAGAAGTTCATCATTACCTTTTCTGTTTTCTTCTCTTCTATTTCACTACCAGATGTTCTTGTCCTAAGTTTCACAGAGCCTTCTTTAAAAATATCTCCAAATCCAATTCCTCGAATTTTCTTTGGCTGTGTAACTGATCCAGGTGCAGTTTCACTCCCATTCCCTGGAGACGGTAAAGGTGAGGTAGTCCCAGTCAAAACAGTTTCTGAAAGAATAATTTGTTTTTGAAGAATGCAGAATCACAAAGATCCCCTTCCATACTGTTTACATTCTATACCTCCTAATTAAAAATGGTAAAATAAAAATAAAAAATTAAGAGCATTAAAATATCCAAAAAAGTAAAATTCACTTAAACTGATTATTTTGGATATTGTTTTAAACAATAACAATTTTAGGAATATTTAGGTAGTAAAATGCTAATTTAGAAATCCAGGAAGTCATATAATACAAGTTCCTTAACAAAAGCATGTCAAAATTTACAGCTCTTGGCCAAACATGACAGAATTCTAACATGTTGCACAAAAATTTATCATTTTCTAAAAGTTACATAAGATTCAATTTGATCAAAGTAGGGGAGTTTCCAAATGCAGCAACTAGTAATATTAGCAAATTTTTATTTTAAAAAGTCCATTTCCGGACGCCTGGGTGGCTCAGTCAGTTAAGTGCCTGTCTTCGGCTCAGGTCATAATCCCAGAGTCCTGGGATCGAGCCCCACATCAGGCTCCCTGCTTCGTGGGGAGCCTGCTTCTCCCTCTGCCTACTGCTCCCCGGCTTGTGCTCTCTCTCTCTGACAAATAAATAAAATCTTTAAAAAAATAATAAATAAATAAAAATAAAAAGTCCATTTTCATTCTTAGAAGTTTATCATTTTAACTCATAGATGAATGAAGTCTAAATTTGAACCAATAAAAATTTAAACTACAATAAAAAATTTTTTAAAGAAATTTTAACATTATATAAGTAAGAAAGTTGTTTCTACAATCTTGCTCAGCAGCAAAGGATCCTATTTACAGGCTTTAATGAATTTATGAACAACCCATGGAAAATTGTATGGGTCTTTTTTCAGCTTATTTTTCTGGGTATAAGAAGCTTATCTCTTAGATTCTCAAAAGGCCTTATAATCTAAGAAAAAGTTCTAGAGTATATCATCCAAGAAAATCCCAGAAACACTTCAGAATGGGGTCAAGGGGTAGGGAAAAACACATGATACCAGTTCATTGAACTAAAGGAATCTGTTGAAGTTTAACAGTAAGAATAACAACAAGGTAAATTAATAAAAATGGTAGTTACATTTATTCAGGGCTTAATCTATGACAGGCACTTGCTAAGCACTGTACATGAATTATATCTAATTTACATAATCATTCATAGGCTTAACATTAAGAACTATTATTCCTCATTTTGAAAATAACTGGGTAAAGAGATATTAAGAACTTCCCCCCCCCAAAAAGAACCTTTCCAAAGCCATATATGTAGTAACAAAGCCAACATTTGAATTCTTGATGATCCCAGAACCAAACATTTTAATTAGATTAATAATCATTAAATTATTAATAATGGTTCAAACAACAAAAGCCTCTACTCACACATCTGAAACATTTGAGAATTAAAGGAAACAACTTTTAATAACTTAAATGTAATGCTAACAAGTACAGTGATCTATACTAACCACTTTCAATATTAGCCTAAGCCACATAACTTTTTGTAATATATTTTAAATCATTTATTAGAACGTTTACATACAATAAAATGAACCAATTTTAAATGGATATTCCAATATCTTTTGACAAATGTATGCACCATGGAACCACAACAGTCAAGATACAGAACACGTCTGTCACCCCAAATGGGCATTCATACACCACCCTCATCAATCCTTCCTAAGTTCAAGCTTCAAGAAACCTTGATCTTCATTCTGTCACTACAGGTATCTTGAGTTTCAAATAAATTTAATCACACAGCACATACATCTTGTATCTGCTTCTTTTGCTAGGCAGAATGTATAAAACTATATCCATGCTGTTCCATGCATTCCTACTTCATTTCTTTTTATTGCTGATTGGTATTCCATTGTACAGATATGTCACTATTTATCTAGCATTAAGAATGTTAGCTGCGGGGGGAGGGGGTGCCTGGGTGGCTCAGTCATTAAGCATCTGCCTTCGGCTCAGGTCATGATCTCAGGGTCCTGGGATCGAGTCCCACATAGTCCTCCCTGCTCGGCGGGAAGCCTGCTTCTCCTTCTCCCACTCCCCCTGCTTGTGCTCCTGCTCTTGCTATCTCTCTCTCTCTGTCAAATAAATAAATATTAAAAAAAAAAAATGGTTAGCTGCAGGTTTTTCATAGATGAGCTTTGTTCAATTTATAAAGTTTCCTACTGTTGCTATTATGGAGCTTTTTTACTGAAATTAAGTACTGAATACATAAAATTCTCTTCCTGCATCTGAGATGGCCATCTTTTAAGCTGTTTAATATAGTATATTAACTTTTGAATACATGGGATAAACATCATTAATTATAATATATAACCTTTACATATTTTACTTTTGAATGAATGGAGTAACTCCCTTTAATCATAATGTATAACCTTTACATATTTTGCTGGGCTTGATGTGCTAATGCTTTGTTTTGATTTCTGTGTTTATGCTCATGACATAATGGTTTATAATTCATTTTTTCATGACTTCATCAGATTTTTATATCAAAGTCATACCAACCTAAGAAATCTGAAAAACTCTGTGTAAGATTAAATCCTTAATAGAATTCAGCAGTATTTTGTGTGAAGATTTTTGATAATGAATTCAAATTTCTTCATCTGCTACTCAGACTATGGGTTCTATTTATATTTTAATAAGTTGTATTGTTCAAGGAATGTGTGCATCCTTGAACAATAAAAAACAAAAAGTTATCAAATTCATATTTTTTATCATCCCTTTAATGTCTGATCTGCAGTGATATTCATATCACTGGTTATTACTCAATCAGACATTTCATATCTGATTATCAGTAATATTTTTTCCTTTTTTCTCTGAGCAACCATTAGAGCTTTAACAATTTTATACCTTTTTGAAAAACTCAACTGTTGAAATCGCTGATTTTCTTGAAAGTTGGTTTGTTCTTTATTTCATAGTTTTTTGCTCTCATTTCCTGACTTCTAATTATTTCAGGTTTACTTTGCTCTTCTTTTACTGATTTCAGATAAAAACTTATGATTATTGACTTTTGTTTTTTCTTTTCTTGTATTAGCATTGAAAGCAATAAATTTCTCTACAGGTGCTGTTTTACCTGCATTCCACAAATTTTTATTGTTTCCTTTTTTTTTTCATTTTGAAAAACCAGTTTAATTTCCCTCACAATTTCTTCTTTGATCCACAGGTTATTTATAAAGATTGCTTAATTTCCAAGTAACTGAGAATTTCCCAAGTATCTATTCCTGAAATACTTCCACTGAGGTCACAAAACCTACTGTGTAGGACTTCAAACCTTTTAAATTTCTGAGACTTGTCTGATGCCCAAACATTAAGGGTCTATTGGTAAATATTCCATGTACTTTTCAAAAGTATGTGTATTTTACTGTTGTTGGGTTAACTATTTCAGAACATCGACTAGATCACTTATTTGATCATTTGACTCTTCTATATCCTTACTAATTTTTTTGTCCATTGGTTCTATCAATTAATGAGAGAAGCATGTTCAAATCTATGCATAGATTTGCCTGTTTCTTTCAGTTCTGGCAGTTTCTGTCTCATGTACTTTGTAGTTCTGGTATTAGGTTATACATATTTACAACTGTTATGTAATTTTTATGAATTGACTCCATCATTATGAAATGCGTTTTATCCCTATTTCCTTTGTATATTAATATATCATTAGTAATGTAACCATTCTAGATTGCTTATGCTTTGCAACAGAATACCCTTTTTCTTTCTTTTAACCTGTATCTTAATATATCGAGCAAGTTTCTGGTAGGCAGCATATTATCCAGTCAACTGGCCTTTCAATTAGAGTTTTTAGACTTTTTTTTAGTAAGCAACATGCCCAGCATGGAGTCCAGTGTGGGGCTTCAACTCACAACCTTGAGATCAAGACCTGACCTGAGATCAGACTTAACGACTGAGCCACCCAGGTACCCCTAGACCATTTAATTTTAATGTAATCACTGTTGTGGTTTAAATCCATGATCTTGCTATTTGTTTCCTATTTACCCAGTTAATCTTTGTTCCTTTTTCTCTTTTTTTCCTTTGGCTTTAACAAGAGACATTTATTTTTTTCAGTTCTGGAGTCCAGAAGCCCAAGATCAGAGTGCCAGCATGTTGGGTTTTGGTGAGATCTCTCTTCATGGCTTACAGATGGCTGCCTTCTCACTGTGCCTTCACACGGCCTTTCCTCAGTATGTGGACATAAAGACAGTGGGCTCTGCCGTCTCTTCCTCTTTTTTTTTTTTTTTATTGATATATAACTGACATATAACATTATATTACTTTCAGGTGTACAAATAATGATTCCTTATGTGTATATATATTGTGAAATGATTACCACAAAAGTCTTATAATTAACATCTATCATCACACAGTTAAAATTTTTTTATGATGAGAACTTTTAAGATCTACTCTCCTATGACTTTTAAAATATACAACACCGTTTTATTAACTATAGTTACTATGCTGTACATTACATCCCCAGAACTTATTTATAACTGGAAGTTTGTGCCTTCTGACCACCTTCATCCATTCCACCCATCCTATACCCTTCACTTCTGGCAACCATCAATGTGTTTTCTGTATCCCTAAATTCAGTTTTGTTTTTAGATTCCACATCTAAGTGAAATCATACATTATTTGTCTTTCTCTGTCTGACTTATTTCACTTATAATAACGTCCTCGAGGTCCATCCATGTTGATGCAAATGGCAAGGTTTTTCTTCTATTTTATGGCTGAAAAATATTCCATTGTGCATATGTAAAACATTTTTTATCCATTAGTAAAAAATGCTGCCATGAACACAAGGGCGCAGATACCTTTTCAAGTTAGTGTACTTCTCTTCTTTAGGTAAATGACCCAAAGTGGAATTTCTGGATCACAAAGTAGTTCTAATTTTTTGAGGAACCTCCATACTGTCTTCATTAGTGGCTACACCAATTTACATTCCTACCAACAGTACAGGAGGGTTCCCTTTTCTCCACATCCTCACCAACACTTCTTGTCT